AGCAGACAAGAAAAAGGCAAACGGTCACGCGCTTGACGTCACGCTGTATTTCTTCTGTGACGTTTACAGTTAATGTTACATAACATTTATGTAATCCGGCTCTTTCTTCTACGTCTAGTCTACAGTATAGGTATACTTTCTATCTTTTGTTCCCACCTACATTATTGTGATATATCAATGCAACGAGTATCGTCGGCGTTGCCTGTCTGAAACTTTTTTTTTCGCAGTTCGCGGTATGCGTCACGTATAGACAGCCGATGATACCCAACGCTCGAGCTCAGAATGGATTACCCGCGCTGCATTCATGTACACGAAGTGCGGTGCGTGTTGAATGTAGATGGACGTTCATCAATAGGTCACTGGTGTGATTGCTGCCCCAAAGATTCAAAATGTAGTCCGAACTTCGCCCGAGCCAAAACAAATCTCGGAGGAGTCAAAAGGAAGACGGCAAGCCGGTGCAAAGGAGAGGAACCGCGCGCATGATCGCATATGGTCGCCCAATGCTGGCGTAGGCAGTATTGCATATTGGGGCTTCGTGTGTCTAATTGGCACTATTGTTGGTCGCCCACACATGTTGGAATTTACTTGCCTGAAACCCAACGGTTGGACACAGCAGCAGCAGCGGCGCGTGAGCACACAAACGGAAGGCGCGTGAGAACGCAAACAGGAGACGCAAGAAGTAGGGAACAACAGGGCTTTAATATAGAGGCCCCTGGCTCAAATCAGACCACCTTCACCCGCGAGCAATCGATACTTTTATAATGAAGGAATTGATGCACACAGAAACAAGACCCGTTGGCGAGCGAGACCCTGGTCCTTGAGATACCGGCGAGCTCTAGCTGCTGCTGCTGCACGTATACATGCACGATTTCGGCGCCTTGGACAAAGGAACCTGCCCGTAACAATTGAATTTATGACAATATTGACCGTACATAGGTTCCGCAAGATATCACACCCCGCATGATCCATTTTGGTTCAAAGGTTACCACGCAAGTGTTCGTTTTATGTATGGGGTGTGGTATCGCATTTTGCTGGGACACCTGGCATGAATGCGAATGGATCTCATCCGATCTCTGCAGCATTGCTCGTGCTACTTTGTTTACGAATATACACCGGAAATGTCTCTGCTGATGATTCAGGACCCTTGAGATTCAAACAAAAGCGGTGAAGACATTAAGACGGCAAACAGATGAAGAGGAGAGAAACAGCGCACATCGTCGAGCCTTTTTGTGGCGTACGTCACTGAGCTCGGAGGGGGGGTGAAACTTGGCGAGGAATCCCGAACCCCGAGGCCTACAGAGGCATCCTCAAGATATCGCGAGGAGAGCGCCGTAGGGCGAGATCGGTTTGTTGGTTGCTGTCAACTAGACTCTCAGACATTCGATTCTTCCGATATAGCTCTCGAAGACAAAAGGAGCGATGAAAACAGGAAGATGGCAAACGGGTAAACGTGAAGACGAGAGACTTAACATCGCGCATGGTCGCATATGGCCGCAATCTTGTGGCGGATGCTACTGCGCGCGGAAGTCGACGAAACTTTCCGCGGCGAGGCATACTCAAGATATCGCTAAACGTGCGCCGTACTGCTGTCGGCCAACATTGGTCTGTTGATTGCTGCCACACAAGCTGACAGAAGATCCGAGTCTTCCATATAAAGCGATGAGGACAGCAAAACGGCAAACTAGTGAAGACGAGAAAACAGCCCACACTTGTGACGTACGCTACGTACTCCACGCGGAAGTCGATCAAACTTGCCGACTGGCCATGATTTTGGGGTGTCCCATCAAGGCATAGTCGATATGTCGCGAGCCGTGCGCCATAGGCGGAGATCGGCTTTCGAGACACGGTCGGGCAGGTTGTTGGGATGTAACCTTTGTGATAGGTGTATCCCTGGAAGTGGCACTGTGTAATAACAGTGTGCAGAGGCTCACAGAGTGACTGTAAAGTACACTTGTTGTGTTGTAGATAGACCAGATGATATGGTTGTATTGGTGCTTATGTGGCCGAAAGGTAAGGAAGAGAAGAGGAGTCCTGGGACTCGCAAGAGTCCCGAAGGACTTGGAAGAGGCCAAGGGCCTTGGAAGAAGAGAGAAAGGAAGGAGAGTGATCGAGAGGGGGCAAGCACCACAGGGGGCGAGCCTCCAAGCTATCACGGAAAGATGCACGCATACGGACTATTGCAACGTACCGGTCACGGTAACAGTCGGTTAATCCGACCTATAGAACCAATCCAAGAATATCCTACTGGACAATGGTCCGATGTAACCCTATGGTTCAACGTATAACCCGTAGGTGTGTATAATCTACCGAAGGCTCTTCCGGTTATACTACTCAGGTGCATACCTACGTGCTGTGTATACAGCAGTAACAATACGTATGACTGACATTGAGTATTCCAACACTCCCCCGCAATGGAAAGTCGTACAATAACACATGTACGTCGTTTACTTGTACAAAACTACCATGGAAGAAATGCATTCAATCGGAATATCAACACAAATTCAATTCAAGAATGATACAGCGAAGGTTGCTGTGTATACTAATCCATCTTATTACAGCGATGTTTCTGCTGTGTTTACCAAGTACTGTTCAAGAGATATACTTCTTACGTCAAGGTATGCAGGAAGAACGAAAATTCAGGCCAATACTGAATGCAACTTGGTGCATGTTTTACGTTACTGGCTAGACTGCTGTAGAAGCAATCATGATCTTGCTGGATGCAAGTGTGTGGTACGATACACTGCTGTAGAAGCAGTGTTTAAGCTATATGCAACGTTGTGCCCAAATGGTACTCAAGCTTACTGCTGTAGAAGCAGTGTACTCACTTAAAGTCTGCTGCTGCTGTAGGAGCAGCGTTCAGTTATATTTCTTAAATCGATAACTGCCTGCAATCCAGATGGTGTACGATAGCAAAGAGAGAATCAGCACATCTGGCTACTACTGTGGAGTAGCGCGCAGAGCGCGTAGTACCCGTCCTATACTACCAATCGACGACATGCAGCATGTGCATGCACGGAAGGTAAATTGTACGAGATGCATCCGACTGCTGTACTGAAACAAAACAAGACTTATAGATACTGCAGGACACAACAAACAATACGAATTTTGCGTCGTCACGACACCGTTTCTTGGTGCTGAGGTCGAAGATGACCTCGCTGAGAAGTCGAAGGTGGTGTCGCTGCCGAAGCATAGTGAAGGCATCGATGTCTGAATCGGTAAATATCCCCCGAGACGTCCGTTGTCATGCAGCGGCGGGCGTCTGTACGATGACGGGGACGTCGATACTAAGCATAGCTGCTGTTGTCCAGATACTGCCGTTGAATCCCTCCGTTGCGGACGAATTTCGCCGGTTGGCAGCTTTTGCGCTGAGGGTAGGTCCCGCGTTGGTGTAGGTGATCTTGGTAGCCGCCCAGGTTGTTTGTGATGATGGTGTCCCTTATGTGTGGGTGTCCAGAGAGGTCGTTCTGTAGACCGATGTTCGACCAAGTCGATTTGCCGCTAGCGAAGCGGTGAGAAATTCACCCGTGCGGCGTGATACCGGCGGCTGAAATGTGGCATGTGAGGTGTTTCACCTTCGCCTTTCTTAGCTGTGAGGAGCTACCCCCTAGCTGAACTATTGCCCCGATGCGTGATGCACGGCGGCTGATCCACTGTACGATGACGTTCCAGCGGTGATCTCGAGCGGCAGCTGGGCCGCGTTGGAAACACAGGTTCCCGGCTGTTCAATTTTTGAAAGCCCGACAAAGAAAAAAAAAAACACCTGCCGTCTACAGCGCTAGCTTTCGACGGCGTCCGCCTGTAACAGCAAGACTACATGTAGATGTATGCTCTCCCATGCTGCGTAGGACGTGTGTTGAACTGGTAGATGACGATCCATGCTAACTTGGCGCTGCTGCTGTAGATGCAACGCTGAACTAGAAGACGTCGGTTGAAGTTACTTTCGCTCACGTATGTTGACGTGTCGAATTTTGTGCCCCTTCGTCGAGATATTGACAGTCTCGCGAACTTGAAAAAATACCGCTTACTTGTTGGGTACAGGGGTGCTGACGGCGATGAATGCCGATGTTGTGGCGAACGTCTCGGACGTACGTGCCGATTTCTTAGCGAAGCTGCTGTAGAACCCGCTGAACTGACTATGTGATGATCGTCGACCTTGAATCTCCGTCGAGATGTGTTGTAGGTCCTCCTTCTTCCAGAAGTCCGCAGAAAAAAATGCGGAGCAATGTAGTCCCCCGATGGACGGGTAGACGATGGTAGATGTCTTCCGCGAAAAAACTACGGGGATGATGATGTCGTCCGTGGCGACCGGCGACTCTTGGATGCGGTGGGTAGCGTGTAGAGCGGAGCGTGTAGGGCGTGCAGTGGACGATACGATGAGGCCGATGGAGAAGTCGTCGAACTCGAAAGAAGTCCTAGATGTACCCCGGATAGAAGAATGCTGGCCAGCTGGTTCTCCGGAGCTCGATGATGCGATGTGCCGTACTTGGGCTGTTCGCGACGCCGCTGTAGATGCTGCTGTTGCTTCCCCGTGCTGTGAAGTAACGAGGCTCATAACCTGTTGGGATGTAACCTTTGTGATAGGCGTATCCCTGGATGTGGCACTGTGTTATAACGGTGTGCAGAGCCTCACAGAGTGACTGTAAAGTACACTTGTTGTGTTGTAGATAGACCAGATGATATGGTTGTATTGGTGCTTATGTGGCCGAAAGGTAAGGAAGAGAAGAGGAGTCCTGGGACTCGCAAGAGTCCCGAAGGACTTGGAAGAGGCCAAGGGCCTTGGAAGAAGAGAGAAAGGAAGGAGAGTGATCGAGAGGGGGCAAGCACCACAGGGGGCGAGCCTCCAAGCTATCACGGAAAGATGCACGCATACGGACTTTTGCAACGTACCGGTCACGGTAACAGTCGGTTAATCCGACCTATAGAACCAATCCAAGAATATCCTCTTTTTTTCCCGGGCGGCGACAATATTTGCAACAAAAAAAAGAGCGGGAAAAAAATCGTCAAGAACGAGACGGATCAGCAGCGCAGCGCAGCGCAGCGCAGCGCAGCGTACTGCGCTCCATCTTACGTAGGATGCCAGGAAAGCAAAATACGTATAGCAGTATGGCACAACTCTGACGAGCGCACCTCCATGTCCTATGTGATCTAAACGGTACGGACTTTCCGACTCTAACGTACGACACGATAAACGACTCACTTGGCACTCCACGATGTTGCCGTTGTCCCTCCCGAGAAGGTCGCAGGAGCTCTGGAGGAGTTGGTACTCCTTGGCGATCGCGTCCTTTCCCTTGCCGAGGATGTCTGCCCGCATCCTGCTAGCTGACCTCTCGCTGACATCCACGCCAGAGGTTGCCTTCAGCGTCTTCACCAGTGACGGACATGTTATGCTGTGGTTGGCACTCACGAGCGCCGCTGCTTCCCCCTCCACACATCGGCGGTTGATCCGCTGCTTTTTGTTGCCGGCCTGGCCGGTGCACGCCACATGATCGAGGACCACCTCCGTAACCTTCCAGGTGCCATCGGTTTGCTTGCACCCCCGCGCACGCACCGGGCAGCCGGATGTCGCCTTCCCGTTGATGATCGCTCCCGTGCAGCGGTGGAGCTTGCCCCGACCGCCACTCACCCTCTTGTCTAGCCGGCACTGCCTAGACTGTGAAATCATGCAGCGCTCGAAAGCGTGCTTTAAGGCACGCGACGTCGTAAACGTTGCTCCTTCAACCATGGCGCCGCCAGCAGTTGACAGAGGTGCGCCCGCGCTTGACCCTGGGCTACTGGATGGTGCAAACTGCCTCGACATGCTACTGGATGGTGTCGTAACGAGTCGGTGTGCACTCGTCGTGGTGGTTGGTGTTTTTGTGTGTGTTTGTTGTTTGTTGCTGTATGCGCGTCTTTTGTTCTGTATGCGCGACCCGTTGGTTGTGTTGTCCGTTGTGTGTCACGCATTTTTTTGTGGCGTGCCGTTAGTGCGCTGCTTGCCGGGCTTGCCGCGGGTATCTTCCCGTGCCTGGTATGCCGGTACCGAAGGGGTCTGGCATGTTTCTGACATGTTCCTCCGTGGTCGGTCCGCAGTCGGCAGCCATGGATAGGAAATATGCCATGGATACGGTGTTGGGAGGTTCTGAGACGTTCCGAGGCTATTCGATGTTCTGCCGTGCGGTGACGTGGAGGTTGTTTTCCGCTCGATGTCCGCCGTATGTCAAGTGGACAAAAGTGGGTACAATTTGGACAAAAGTGGGTCAAAATATAGACACAAGTGGGTACATGAAAAAATTAGTTGACGCCGGTGGGTATACCCACCGCGATGTCGGACATAAGTGGGCACTCTGTTGAGGCCTTGCGCGCGTCGGCGGTATTAGAGCCAAAGGTGTGCCTAAAAGTGGAAAAAAAATCGACGCCCGTGCTGTGTGTGGTCCCTGGTTTTGTCGCCCAGGTGTCAGAATGGGGTTTTGAGACGTTTGGGGGTCGCCTATGGAGTGCGCGCGCGCTGGATTTTCGAGTACCCACTTTTGTCCGAGAAAGGGGTGGGTATACCCACTTGTGTCTATTTCCCTATTTAATACTTCGATATAATCTGCGATTCGGACACGATGATGTTCCGGATTCTCCAGAAAATGCTGGACAATCTACGTGCCATACTACGAACTGCTCTCGCCGATGGATGCTTGTCGAACGCCGCAACGCGTTGCGGGCAAGTGCGTGACCATGACTGTGGCGATCCGACCGGCGTCACTTTGGACGCATGCCAGGTTGCCGTCCAACCAAAGTCGGGTCGATCTGGCGTGTGACGCTAACGCGCATCTGCGGGAAGAATTCCGAAAGCGGCTTTCTCTGACGGTTTCCTCGCACAAAGGGCCCTGACAGCGAGCAAGCCATTCTCATGGTCAAACTTGACGGATCATCGGACGCGTCCTCCCTAGGCTGGGGTGGCGTTGTCAACATCGGGGGAGCCCAGCACCGCGCTGGTGGTATGATCCCAACTGATTGGCTGCACAAGCACATCAACAAGGAGATGTTTGCGTTGTACCATTTGTCGCGACTCTTTCCGTGTGCGCCGTCCGACCGGCTTGCTGCGGACGCAAGGGTTCATCGTGAATAGTTCAACCGGGGGTGGGTGCACAACCCGGAAAAACATGCATTGTTTGTCCGTTTGTTTGAGCCACAGGTCGAGTACCCGTTGATTGCCAATGTCGTCGCTGATGATATATCTCTGCGCTGGCGCGAAAGCATCATTACGCTAAACCCCGAGGGTTTTCGGCGCTCTCTGGGAGAATGTGCAGCCGGTCGCCGTTGCTCTCATGGCCTTGGCGACCTAACAACGTTGTTGCTGAACGCAGGCCTCGAATCAAGACGCGTTCGAATGCCTCTGGCTCTTGGGTACACAACGTAGAGGCACCAAGTGGGTGCACGACAGAGCGTGCTGTGGCGTATATACTCGGTACGAAACATGGCCGCGCATGCATTCTAGTTTCGCTATGCGTTAACAGTACGCGTCCGCGTCTATGCAGAAACGAATCGAGTCCAAGTTGAAGGTGGCGATCCAAAAGCAGTTGGGTCAAGACGGCAGCCGGGATCCTGTCGCGCGGTCGGGCAACCCGTGTCGTAGTCGTCTCGTAGACTTCTACGTCATGTTTTCGGGGAAGGAACACAAGCTTTCTCAATCACGCAGAGGCTATGTTGCCGCATGCCCTCTTCGAATTGTTGAGGGACATGCGCTTTCGGGCACAAATTGCCTCGCCTTTGGTGGTACGCATTGAGCATACCAGGGATGTCGCTTTGTTCTTGTTGGCGTCCGCGGCCACGACGACCTCTCCTTCACGAAGGGATCGCAGATTCTGCGGCTGCCAGCGGGGGAGGATCTTTATTTCAATTTCCAGTTTGGTAAGACCCTTCGTGACTCCGTAGACGCCGTTGTTGCGGGCGCGGACGTCACGGGCTGCCACACCTATTACACGATGCATTCCTTTCGGGACGGGGGTTGTGTGGCACAGTTGCTGGGTGGACCTGCGATCGTAATTATGATGAATAATTTGCCGGGCGGCGTACCGAGAGCGTCGCACTTGGCGCCTACTAGTGTAGGAATGGCAGGTTCCAAGACGAGCCGTAGCGAGCACTACGCTTGGAAAAACACATTGCCGATTGTCGGCCGGCGACGCATACATTTGATTTTCTGCGTGTGCGCGCCGCGGAAGTAAGAATGTTTGGGTGGGGAGAGACCTACCTTAGAGGCTTGTGTGGTCAAAGCAATATATGGTAGATCAGACAGTCAACAGGATGGGCGGGACCACAGGCCGGTGCAGGAGGCCTCACCCAACCAAATCCAAACTTACATTGAATGATCTAGGAAAGAGGCAAGAATACAACAGCATAATCTTCTTGCGCGGGAAAGGACGCGTCCGTCTTCACCAGGAAGCCACTGCGTGCTCTTCTTCCTGTCTGCTCTTCTTCTTTGCTGACGGTGCTGCCACCACCTTTACGTCGTCGGTCGTCGTTGTCTCCGCAGGTCCGGCGCTCTCCTTCCCCCTTGCCTCAACTTGTGTGTGACGGGTGCGTGTTGCTGACCTAAAGTCGCGCACACAACAGCTTGGCTTTCTGCCGTGCAGCCTCCCCCTCGCGCCAACTCCAGGGCCTTTTGGCTGGGCGCTGACACTCTCTTTGGCCGCGCGGACTGTTGTGTGTGCGTGTGGGTGGTGCCTGATATGGTATGTCCAATATGTTGCTAAATCGAAAATCGTGAACAATTTTCCAAAAAACATAGCCTCCCTTCGCTCTTATTCCGGAGATTTTTTTCCATGTCGTGGGTTCTGACGAGACTGTCAGGAACTATCCTCAGAACGATGGCTTAGCCCAAAAATTGTTTCCTTGATCTGGAGAAATATTGAGTCCGAGTTCAGTCTAATGTGATACAACGAATCAATCTCTATCTATGTAAGATACGTTATTCATGAATCCTAGCGTTTCAGTCGAAGCTAAGTATATTGCTACGGTTAGCCAAGCGGCACACAGCGATATCTCTGCTGTGGGTAGCAGGCTCAACAAGACAGTCTGGTAGCCGTCGTGTGAATATATTGTTGTGCTTGGAGGTGTAGAGGAATATATTGTGGGGGGGAAGGTTTGCACCATTGAAAAAACACACAGTTTGGCACGTATCGTACGCACACGTCAACACGTTTTACTCCCTGCTTCCGCGTGTTGATCCCTGGATGGCGTCTCGGTTCAGCATATTTCAATTTGCGTACGCGAGCTTCAGCTGGCAAGCTTTGGCAGGTATACACGAACAATTTGGCGTGTACGCACGGCGGTGGGGGCTTCTTTACCTTGTTGAACCGAAGGCCACCTGGGAAATGCAGCACACAATTGAGAAATTAGAATGGACGCCACCCTACACTTAGCGCCCGCTTTTTAAGAAACACGAATTTGCGGTCCAGCCTCAAATTCTCATGGTGGTGCGTTGTCCTATTTCTTTTGTCAAGTTTCTTATTTTTTTCTACACCCTCCTGCTGAATTTCTTATCATTTTATCTATATACTGACAAGAAAGTGCATCAACCCGAAGCCGATGACACCCGTGCACGTATCTCACTATGTAGCAGGCGTACCGAGGTCAAACCTCCGGCGCTGCCATCTGCACTCACGGATCTGGCTCGGGTGCAAACGGATTGGGTGTGGGGTGATTCGATGAAGAGATAGAAGCGTCGCACACGACAGAGCTGTGTTGGCAAAACGTTCCGCCTCCTCTATTTTTCTACTTGAAAATAGAGTACTCTTTGAACGGTCCGTCGACAGACTGGTGATGACGCACGTGGAACGAGCTAGGGCAAATACGCATTTTTTTCGCGCGCCTTGGTCGTTTTCGTTCGCTGTCGGCGCCCTTGGCGCTGACACAGTGACGCCAGGGTGCGTTAGAGACCCTTGCGAGTGTGCCACGTGCAGATTTCACGGCGTTACGGACGATTAGGTTGACTGACCTTCGGTGATCGCGCCGTACCCAGGCAAGATTTGTTACGCCGCCTCAAGAATTTGTCGGAATGCTCGTTTCGACAGATCTTGGGTCAAGATTTGTTCGAAAGGGCAGATTTCGGGCCTCGAGAAATCTTAGCCAAGATATATCAGAAGATTTTGCTCCCAAAAATCGTAAAACTGGCAAATTTGGGCCACGGTCAAAAATTTTTAACAAGATTTTGTCCCCATAAACGTCTGAAAAAGAAAACAGGGGGGCGACCCCAAAATTATTTTAATGTATAGGTATAAGAAACAAGGGGTTACTGGGGGGGGGGGGGGGGGGGCGGACTCATAGTCGTGCATGCCGTAGTCGTTAGACCGTTGACCTCGCATCCCTACAAAGCCGGGACGGAGCACGCCGGGTTCTCACCAGACCAGGCTCTCACATCACCAAGCGCGAAGCGCCGTGAGGTATTCGGCGAGTCACATGAAGGGTGAGCTGCATCCTGCTAAGGGTGTTCGGCATCTTGTGCTTACTTCCTTGCGTACGGATGACAGCTGTCTATGACTTAACCTTTTTTCTGGTGCTTTCACTTCCGAGACAGTTATAAGCACTGCTGTGTAACTGCCTCGAGGATGCTATACCATTTTAACACAACGTGGTGCGATCATCTCCCTTGCGCGGAGTGAGGGTTCTCGACCCCGCACAACATGATCTACTCGA